AGGAAATTGTTGTTCAGAATCATCTCAGCTACCCCCCATTTCCGCCTTCTCCCCGAGTTTTGGGACACCCTGTATATTGATTTTACCATTGCGTTCGGTCGGAGGTCGACACAGCGGACCAACGAAAAATTCTGGTCACGCGTCAATCACGTGGCTCTGTTTACATCCAACCTCCGCTTCTCGTGGAACTTGTTATGGAATTGAAACGTCGCGCGCAGAAAAGCGTACTTTAAACGGATGGATCGCTTAAGCGCGCGTTCGCACCGCAAAAGGTTACGCCCTTGCCTCGGTGGTATACAGAGAAGTGAAACGAAATAAAAAAGAAAAAGAAAAAAAAAACAGAAATTAAAGAGAAGGAAGCTTAACGAGGTCTTTTCTTCCCCCCGGATCGTATTTGGTACCAAACGTTGAAAATAGAGAGAGAAAAGACCGTAGCGCTCTTCGTCACTCTTTCCTCTCAAGCCTATCTCGAACTTTTAACCCTCCAACTAACCCTCTTCACCTTCCGTTCTACGAATATACGAGTCACTCAATGTCCTCTTTTTCTCATTGTACGCTCGATGTATTGCTGTCCTATTGTGCAATGTAAATGCAAATTAAATAAATTAAATAAGCGATCTATGTTCTTCAGAGTTGTATAGACGGCGCGTAGATAAAGGTAGCTATTTTCTGGTTACCATCGAATTTTATTGCACGTTAGACAAAGAGTGGATGAATCTAGTGAATTACGTATTAAATTGGCGTGAGAGACCTCGTGCAGGAATATACTTGGATAAATTGAGTATTTATTCGTAATGAATGAAATAGGTAGCGATATTTCTACGGTGTCGAGCACGTACTGTCGATGGAGAATTAATTGCGAGTGGAAGTTCTTGCATTCTTGAATTTTATTTTTATTAATAGAATAAACGCAGATTGGAGACATAAATCTATGTATCCGCACGATAAATTCCTGCCCGAGATTTCGAATGAGCATAACGCTCTCCGGTTATGGCGTATTCCGGAAGGCTGTTCCGTAAAGACGTTCTTTAATTGTTCTGGTGATTCTACTTTATTAACCACTGGGTGGGCGAAACTTATTGCAAACTGTGGCAATCTTCTAGAACGCCATCATTGCGACGAACCTAACGATTAACTCGTTAAACAAATGTATTTAGACGCTCCTCGTACAATGGGATCCACAAAAGATATCACTACCGACGAACGATCTTCACCACAGTGTCACACGTGCGCAAGACAGATGCGCAGGAGACATTTGCCGTCCACTTGCTACTCGAACACTGAACTATACAGTAGAATCTTGTTTATACGAACCAGTGATGGGCAAAACCCTAGGCTTCGAATAAATCTGAAGTTTGCCGATATGTTTGTCTCGTTTCCTCTTTTGAACATTTTCCAAAGAAGGAAACGAGACAAACATACCGGCAAACTTCACATTTAATCGAAGCCTAGCGTTTTGCCCATCTCTGATACGAACAAAATCATGCTCAGTCTCGGATATACGAACTCGTAGCTGAGCTTAGTACCCTAGTCCTTCGTACCTGAGTTTAGTAATCTCAAGCCACCCTTAACTGAGCCTAGTACATGAGTCTACACTCCTTGTAACTGAGCCTAGTATTTTCTAGCCACTCGTAGCTGAGCTCAGTGCCTCAGTGCTCTAACCTCCCGTAACTGAATCCTATACCCTCTTTCGAACATTTTCCAAAGAAGGAAACGAGACAAATACATCGGCAAACTTCAGATTTATTCGAAGTCTAGAGTTTTGCCCATCTCTGCTCTAGACTCCTTGCAGCTGAGCCTAGTATCCTCGAGTACTCTGTAACTGAGTCCGGTACCTTCTATTCCCGCCACAGCTAACACCCCAGACTGCTATTTCCTGCGCATCTACCTTGCGCACACCTGGCGCTAGTGCATTGCCACCTGTTGAAACTTTTGTGCATCCCATTGCACACGTAAACGAGCGACCAATTTAACTACGTAGTCGTTAAGGATTGCACCCGTCTACGAAGAGTCGCAATTTCTTTTGGAAACCGATGGTTCACCGATATTGGCTTTGCCATGCTTCGAGGCGTGATCGTTCTTAGCTTTTACGATATTGAGCGACAATTCATCGACAGGGGACTTTCAGAGTATTGTATTTGAATACGCACGAACGCGTACACAATTCTCTGCGCGACAAGAGGACCGAATTCGCGACAGTTCACATCCGTACTCTTCCGTAAGCGTCAGGCTGTGTTCCCACGTGTACAACGCCTACGAGAACTAAAATAGCGATGTACAAAGTTTATCTTCGGAGCTTTATGAATGACTTTAAAGGTTGAGTCCAGGGACGAAGCGAAAGATTTTAATGCCTGAGGCTGAGGTACTTGAGCGTGATTGGGCTGCGACACATGAGCGACGCTGATGGTCAACAAAAATTATTATAAAATTGAGCTAGTACTAGATGATAAAGTATCGAATATGATGCGATTCGTCTGAAAATAAATGCGAGGAATCGAGATAATACGCGTATTAAACGCCTTCGTAAGTCTGTAAACCTTCTTGTACTAAAAAATCGACTTAGGGTTAGGTTTGTTCGCTCGCGTCTTATTAGAATCGTATAAATCCATGCGAGATACCAAATTGAGTAAAGTAGAAATCACAAAATTATGTCACGCATAAAAGTGAACAATTTAGAAGGAGAAAACATTTTTTTAGAACTTTGTATAGATAAAGGAATATTAAGAATATTAAAGGAGTATTATTACTTTTTAATAATGTAACGAATAAACACGTGACATCATTTTTCACATTCATGTCTTTGAGAAAATGTTAAGTACGTTGCATGTACTTGTAATACTTGTATACTTCATTTGTACCTTATTCGTACTTTTTATAAACTTAATACGCTTGGTGTAAACGCAATTGAATTATACACGCTTAGTGTTTAGTGCGTGCTACTTTAGTTAGCATAAAAAAAAAAGAAAAAAAAAATTAGTATGGTGTAAACGAAGTCATTGTTTTAGACGCGAGCATTCATACCAATGGAAACGCTCTGCTAGCGCTTGCAGTTTTGTTGTGAGCGTCGCTTCTGCGTGAACCCGTAACGAGAGTCAGGTATTAAAGGGTATGGTTGCTTTTAAATCGTACGACAGACGGTCTAGGGTCAGAGATGGACAAAGTTCTTATTCAAATAATAATTTCGATCAACGAATGAAAGATGAATCGTTTCTTCGTTACTTGTTATTAAATAAAAATTAAACGTCGAATTGTAAAATGAAATATATCACAACGAACAACTAAACGAATAAGCGTAAAGAACAAACCGTGATGTAAAAGCAAAAGTCGTGTGTTTCCATTCGTAATAAATTATACGAATAAAATTTCACCCATCTCTGTTCTCTGGATCACGTTTTACGCTAAAGTCTGCACACGTGGGAATGCGGCCTAGAGATTTACAGAAACGAAGCAAGAGCTCTCTTCCCCACCTTGTTTACTGCCCACGAGCGAGTGCGCAGCCTACGCGCGCACGCACGCTTTCCCTTACACCCCTTTTCAACCCCTTCTCGACGATACCGTCCTCTGCTCTTCTCTCGAACGTGCGAAAGGCGAGAGCAGCGACGTTAAACGCCACGAGACGCTCGCGTTTATCTTTTTCGAAAAGAAAATCGAGAACGAGAGAGCCATTTAATAGAAAGGACCAAAAAACTCGATAAAGATTAAGAATTACGCGAAGTAAGAAAGAAAAACGGTGGGAGCGACGCGGAATCAATCCCCGTTCCGTGAAGGGAACGGTGTTCGGTGACGATTATCCGTCCATCTACGTTAAAAGAAAAAAAAAAAGAAATTTTCAAGAATCCTTCGTGAGCGACAGTCAGGTTTAACTGGAAACGCGTGAAAGCCAAAAGGAGCTTCTCGCGAAGGTGCCGAACACCGTTGTCTGAACACTGAGATGGGCAAAATTCTTATTTAGATGAAAATTTTCGAGTAAAAAGATAAGCAACTTTTAAAATGTGTTACACGTCGGAGATTAGACAAGTTTAATTTATAGAATTCAAATTATATTTCAAGGTGAGCAAATAAAAAAAAAAGAAGAGAAAGAAAAAAGATTTCAATGACCATCGATCGAATAAACGTTTGCGAACAGATCGTTGCACGTTGTTTTTTTTATTCGTCGTCTGCTAGTCGAATAAAATTTTGCCCTGATCGAGGCCTGAACGAGGCAGGCCCTGGCATTGCCCTCGAGAATAAGCAAACCTCGAGGTGGATGCGCGGTGCAACAAACGAGACGTCTTTCGACGGGACGTCACGTTTCCTTACAATTAGATACACGTATGTACGTACGTGACCAGTTACACCAACGGACACCCCCACATTGCGGACCATAGCCTAATCGATTAGGCGATTTCTTCGATCGACGTTATTACATACATATGTATATCCCTTGTACGTACCTGTGCGCGTTGTTATATTATTCGTATAATATCGCGCCGATTTTATTGTCTCTTCTTGTTAGCGTATCGAACATCGTTAATTGCGTGCC